ATTCCATCTGCTCCAAAGTGGATAGCTATGCCACTTCCCTCGTGGAAACATGGAAGCAGCTGGTCACATGATGCCTGGCTGCCCAAAGGAGCCACAAATGGCAGGGCTCAAGCTAAAATAGTAAATATACATATTATATATAGTAAACTACAGAAAGCTGTATTCCACTGCAGTAAAATTAATAAAACTTCTGTTTTGTTTTGTTTTTAAGAAAAAGGATAGAATATAAACAATAATGTAACATCAAACCAGCGAAATATCCACTATATTACACATAGATATTTGCATTCAGATTAACAGGACATTCTTCCAACAGCTGCAGCTCCAAAATATGATTCCATAGGATAATACTTTTCATTTTAAAGTCTCTCAGTAATACAAAATAATATTAGAGAGGTGTTAAAATGACTTTATTATTTAAATCAAAGTATTCTAAAGTACTGAAAAGTAGTACATGTGAAAATAAATGTGCAAGAGATAAATGAAGCGCTTGCTGCTCCCTTTACCTATTTCCACCCGTAGCCCGTAGTTTGATATGAAGGGCAGTGATTCCCAGCTCCTTGCATCTTTGTGCTACGTCTTGGGCAGCCAGCATAGCGGCATAAGGAGAAGACTCATCCCTGTCGGCCTTCACTTTCATGCCACCAGTTACTCGGCAGATAGTTTCCCTGAGAAAAGAAGACGTGCATTATAGATGAACTTAATCCCACCAACTTAATTCCTTCACCAGAGGCAAAAAGCATAACTTTCTTGTCTTTAAAATACAGTATGAATAAAACAATTCCCAGAATTAGGGTTAGAGTTTGTGCTTGATTGCAATATCATTATATCTTAGCAGAAACAACAGAGTTTCTATACAAAGAACTTCCAAGAGTAGATACTTCACCTAGGATTCAGCTATGGTAATAAAACATAATACTTGGCTCCAAGAACGTTACAATGCTAAGTATGTATATGCCCAAGTAGACAGAGTTTCCTTTTAGTTTAGGCTAAGTCAGTGATGGTGAACCTTTTAGAGACCGAGTGCCCAAACTGCAACCCAAAACCCACTTATGTATCGTCAGGTGCTGGGTGGGCGTGGCCCATTGGGTAGGCATGGCTTTGGTGGTAACAGCAGACTGGGTGGGACTAAAAAGTTCAATCAATCAATTCCAACTTTGCGAGATCTTTTTTTCCCCCGCGAGGTTGAAATTGATTGAACCTTTCTTTTTTTTTTTACACACGGCAATGGAGGCCTAAAGCGAAAAGGTTTTATAAAACCCAGCTGAAGGCCTAGGACTGGGGCGATGGCGCGCGTGCCCACAGAGAGGGCTCTGTGTGCCATCTGTGGTACGCATGCCATAGGTTCGCCACCACGGGGCTAGGTGAATATTATAGGCCTTTTGACATAAAGTCTTGACATCTATTGCCAAGATCTTCTATTACAATCTTGTCAATAATATTATCTTTTCACAAGTAGAGATACTCACTTGCCAGACAGGTCAGTTACATGGACAAATGTATCATTGAAGGAAGCGAAGATGTGGCAAACTCCAAACACATTTTCTCCTTCAGCAACCTGTGGTCCCAAACTTATAACCTGCTCTTCCTTCTTTTCCTTACCCTTACGGGGAGCCATTTCTGTATAAAACAACAAATTATGGAATAGGCAGATTATTATAAAATAGTTTGTTGAAGTAGAGAAACTATAAAAATCAAAATACCAAGTCGAGGAAAGAAAAAAAAAGCCATCATATATAATAAAGCTGATTCACAACTTCTAATCAGAAATTTATACTTAGCTACCATGGGGATTATTTCCCATTCTGATCTCCAATAAAGTAGCAGATACTCTTTCCTGAACTGGGAATGTTTCCTGTCCTGAGAACTGCATGGGGCATGAATATTGTGGTATCGGCATGGGCAGAGCAACATCAAAATCAGTCCACAACTGATATGAGGTTTAAATACTTAAAATTTGTGCTTAAGGGACCCACTTTCCCCTTAATCCATCCAAATTATCCAAAACAGGTCCCAAAATGTTATCCTCAACATAAGCAGTCCACAAATTATTTATTCCTGCAATAAGAGACACCCATTTCAGAAGAAACTATATATAGTTAGCACTTTACATCACACTTCAAGCAACTTGTTGGTGGCTTTAAAAAGGAAGCAAGAGACGATGGAGACTTTCGGATTATCCAATCTGAATACAAATCCAATACAAGAAAGTGTTGTCAGAACTACATGCAAAGGAACAGCAAAACACAGAGACATAAAATTTAGGTAACCAGTTTCTGCTAATTGTTAATTGCTTTTGTTTTTGCTTATCATTTTCTGAATGATAAGCAAGAACTTCTATCACATCAATCATGTACTGACAATTCATACTCAATCTACCCCTAACTGAATTCTAAATGTAAGTGCTTTGATCCTCCCTTCCTAAAGCATCAGCTTGTTGTACAGACCAAATAATGGGATTGACTCACTTATGTACCTGAGGAAAATACTGAAGGACTTGCACAGTGTAGTCAAGTCCAAATGTTGAATAAAATGTGATGTATTCAACAAGTACTAATAAAATCATCCTATGATCATCTAGCAATCAAAATCGGGCCCTCTCGATCACAGTAAAGATTGTAATATTTTACACTGATCTTTCTTCTGAATATTTTGAGATTAATTTTCAACAACTAAACAATTTGTAGTTAATATTTGCCCACTGATTGGTAGCAGTTCTTTAGGGCAGTGTTTCCCAAACTTGACAATTTTAAGGCATGTGGACTTCATGCCTTAAAAGTCCTCATGCCTTAAAATTGTCAAGTTTGGGAAACACTGCTTTAGGGCTTCAGGCAAGAATTTCCCAGCACTACCTGGAGATCTGGAAGACTGAATTTTAAATCTTCTGCAGGCAAAGTACCATCAATGAATTATAGCGAATATTTAAATGTTAATGTTCCCCACTTTCCTCTTGTTATTACGTAAGTGTATACCTACAAAATTAGAACAATGATTTGGGTATTTCTATACCATTATTTCAATATTTAGTATTTTACTTGTGAATTATGCTACCTTTGTATTAATTATGCAGTCTGAAAATTAAAGATCTACTAATTTTGGAGGCTACATTCTTACTTGAGAACACTAGTCAAATAGAATTCAGTGACAAAAAAAATACTGAAGTTTTAAACAAAAGAGCTGCATTGTGATTAGGGAAGACTTACAATAAGAACAAAAAATTATATATGCAAGAATGTATGGATATCCAAGAACGCATGGATGCCCAGATAACAATCCCATGGAAAATCTAACAATTTCAATATTTACTACTGTTTTGCAAATTCAGTTCCCTGATCATGATTTCTGATAATTTTCATAATGTTCTGATAGTCACAAACTTGTATGAGAACTTTCCACACCAAACAACATCAAAAATAAGATACGACTTGGACCATTACATTTACAATAGGGTACACTGCTGTAGTTAATTACCGTACTTAAAATTCATTGCTTCCTAAAAGACTTAAACTGCCACTTTTGCTGCTAATGCATTACAAATGTAGTAAGATACATGGCCTTTCTAAATAAATCAGGATGAGCTTAAAGGAAATATCCTACCAGATAGCCTTGAATCCCACTTTTCTGCAAAGCAGAAATAATTCTAATAATAAACCCACGTGTACAGGCTTACAAATACTGTATCTAGTTACTAAAACCCTCTGGAATTTAGTCAACAAACTTCCCTTCTCAAAACTCCTCTACCCTCAGAAGGAGGGAGAACAGTGCATTAAAAGGCAGCCTCATAAACATATTTAAATAGATGGCTTTGGACACACTTTTCAGCCTTAGCTCTTTGCGTGCGATAAAAGTAGAGATTATGTACGTTTCTTCTAAAAGATTTGTTTCCCAAGGAAAATATAGGCAGCTTACAATGAACCTTCGCGAAGTTGGGGGAAAGCCGGCTGATGAGGCCCAAACCGAAAAAAACAATCCCGGGGACCGGGTGATACGGGCCTCGACCACTGGGCAAAAACAAAGGCCCCCGACCTCGCCCTCCCTTCCCTTCCCCGCTCAGTTAGGAGTGAGGAGCCCAGCGACAGCACCAGGGGAGCGGAGAGGGCCGGACCCGCGAGGATGGAGCTGGATAGAAAACGGCCCCACCAGCCACTTACTCGAGCGTCTCTGCAGGCGGTAGCCAGCACCGGAAAGGATAGAACGTCACGAGGGCAGAGGTCACGCTTTACCACCCGGAAATACTTTGCGGAGAGGCCCTACCGGGAGGTCACTCTTTCCGAAAGAGACGTTCTCTCATTGGAGAAAATGAGCACACAGCTAGGGGAGCGTTTATTTGCAGAAATGGCGACTGGGGTCTAAAAAATTTCTTTCATGCTTAAGGGAAAAATATAACTTGCACACTCGCTTCCGTTAACCGGGCGGAAGCTTTTCCCGCCAGATGTTGGGTGTCTCTTTTGACGTCAGTCGCTAATCTGACACGCCCAGCCCAAAAGAGTTGATTTGAATAATCGTGTTGCGCCCGCACACGAGGATGGGGTGGACCAATGGAAACAGTCCTTTGCTGTACTGGGTTCTCTGTCGTGCAGGAGCGCCATGAGACAACGGGGGAGAATCCTGTGACCCCCCCCCCGAATTGGTGTGGGATATAAACTTAAGAGATCTATTTGGAGCGACTGCGCCTCATTTTAAAAGAAGTATCTCTTTTGGTGATTTGCCCTGACAGTTCAGAAAATACCAGACTAAGCAAATCCCTAGCTCAGTGTTAACTCAACCGTAGTAACTTTTAAGTTGTGCGGACTTCAACTCTCAGAATTCCCTCCCCCAGGCATTATTCCCCCCAGTAGCTGGATGGCTGGGGAATTTTGGGAGTTGAAGTCCATACATTTTCAAAGCTGAGAAACATTGACCTAGCAAATGAAATGCATAATTTTACACCAAGAAACGTTATTGTACAGTTGGTTTACCATGTTAATATTTTCATGGTGTCAATTATAAAGATCGTATGGTTCTACAATCAGCTTCTTTTTAAGGATTCTGATAAAAGTCCATCATTTGGATAAGCACTAAATGTCAGCAAAGAGATACAAAAATAGGATTTTGTAACCTGGATCTGGTGGTCTTTCCCTGGCTCACCCTGCTATTTGAAGGTAATAATATTAGATTATGGCTTTGCATTGGACATTAATACATTAATATGAATACCTAATAATATGAAACAGGAAAAAATCACTAAAGGTAGACATAAATTTGACAAAAATACAGATTTTAATTAATTTTTTTAAGCAGAGCAAACCATGTTCACATGCAAACCTTGGTTAAGACATTTCAGAGTTTTGCAAAATCTTCTCCTGAGGGGGGGGGGAGGGAGAGAGACTGACTGACTGGGTAAAGTCATTGCACTTATAAGACTGTTTTTGACCACCAAGGCAAATGGTAACAAGGGAAAGAATGTTCATCTGTTTCTTATCTGACCTATTATTATATTTGAAGTGAAGAGTAACAAATGTCTGTTACCATTTACTGATAGATTAAGCTCATAATATGCATCCAATACAACTTTGTGGTAAATGTTTTACTTTTTTATGTTTTACCTTTTTACTTTTTTTTAATGGATCATTCTGCAACTTAAATACTCAGAATTCTTGTAGCACCATGTTTATGTTCAGTAGGACATTATTTGACACAAAACAGATAAATATGTGTTTATTTCTCTCTACATTTCATACACAAATGTACAATTTGATCTAAAGATGATAATATGTATCAGGCTAGAATAGGAAATTATACTGTCTACTATTCTGGTGAGAATAGCAAACACCATCGAAATGGAGTAGCTATAATTGTAAACAATCTTGTAAATAAATGCATCAAGTCCTTTATTCCTGTATTTGATAGAGTGATAATGATCCAAATAAATAGTACTCCAGTAAATATGAATGTTATACAAGTTTACGCTCCCACAGCTGACAGCGATGAGGATTTATAGAAGCTCTACGAAGATATAAGCGGTGTACTGAAAACCCTAAAAAGTAATGATATCACAATACTCATGGGGGACTTCAATGCAAAAGTGGGAGAAGAAAGTGATGCTCCTGTAGTTGGAAACTTTGGCTTAGGAACCAGAAATGGTAAAGGTGACAGATTTGTAGACTTCTGCAAGGAACATAGGCAATGTGTGATGAATACTTTTTTTAAGTTGCCAGAAAGACACCTCTATGCTTGGAGATCACCAGCAGATATACAAAATAATGTAGTAAGGAACCAAACTGACTATTTTACAATAAACAAAAGATTTAGAAACTCAGTAAAATCAGTAAAGACATACCCAGGTGCAGATGTACTATCTGATCATAATCTACTACTTGTTGAAGTCCAGCTGAAACTAAAAAGGATGAAAAACTCGAACCCTGCTAAACCAAAAATCAACAGAAACTTCATCATTAAACATGGAGGTAAGATTAAAGAAGAACTAGAAAATCATTTAAGGGAAACCAACAACCTGAATGATGATGATGTAGAAGTGAACGGAATAAATTTAAAAATGCAATAGTAGAGGTAACAAATTCAAAACAGAGAGAGGGTACTACAAGAAACAACAGTGGATGATGGAGGAAATTCTTCATCTCATGGATGAAAGAAGATCTTATAGAAATAAAAACAAAGAAAAATACAATGAATTGCAAAAAACAATTAGAAGAAAAATTCGACTGGCAAAAGAAAAGTGGTGCAAAGAGATGCAAGGAAATAGAAGAGACAGAACGTATACATGATAATTTCAATTTACACAAAAAAGTGAAAGAAGCAGCAGGCCTCTACAAAAAAAAAACCAATAATTTAGTTGACAAAGAGGGGAAAATTATCTTAGATGAGGATGAAAAGCTAAAAAGATGGAAGGAATATATTGAAGAACTTTTTGAGGACACTAGGGATGATATAGATATGGGAAGTATAACAACTGGACCAAATATCACTATGGAAGAGGTTGAACATACAATAAAAATAGCAAAAACAAGAAAAGCCATAGGACCTGATGATATCCCAATAGAAATTTTAAAATTGCTGGAAGACAATGGGAATAATTTTTTACTGCACCTCTTCAATCAGATTTATGAAACAAGAAAGATACCAAATGATTGGTTAAAATCAACCTTTGTGACAATCCCCAAAAAAATAAATGCAAAGAAGTGTACCAAATACAGAACAATAAGCTTAATGAGTCATGCCCTGAAAATACTCCTGAGAATAATTCACACAAGAATATACAACAAAATTGAAGAGCGTTTAGGAAACACACAATTTGGTTTCAGAAACAATCTTGGTACAAGAGATGCACTGTTCAGTGTGGGGGAATTTGCACGTGCAGCAAACTGCCATGCATTGCCCCCCACAAACCTCATAACCTTTTGATACCCTTTGTCCCAAGGAAGCAGCCAAAAGATCACCCCCTTTTGACTTAATATCTTACCTACCTAAATAAATAATATGCTTTAAGTTCCCCCTTATCTCTTCCTGTCTTTATCTCTCCTTGTCTTTATCAGTTCTTTCTCCTTTTCTAATTTACCTGTATTTGTTTTTACCTGCTCTCAGCAGGTAATATGTTACTAGAAAATAATTGCTTATATGAAGGAATTTTTCAATTACTTTATGTCAACAGCTAAAGATTAAACTTCTAAATGTAAAATGTCAGCAGTTAATGGTAAAGCCTATGTATGTAAAAAGTATATAAGAAACAATAAACTCAAGAGTTTGTCAAGCTGTGTTCTGCAGCTTCAAACCTCTGCACAAGACACGCCTGAGTCTTTTTCTTAGCATCGTTACAGTTCAGCTTTCAGGTTCTTGTACAGCGTTGTAGAGATGTCAATCACAGTGTTTACATGTGCTTCATTGATTTCGAAAAAGCTTTTGATAAAATAAGACACAGCAAACTATTAGAAATCGTGAAACAAGGGGGACTAGATGACAAAGACATGCAAATAATAAAGAATCTATATTGGCATCAGATAGCAAATGTGAGACTAGGCCAAAAATACTCAGCTGATGCAGAAATAAGAAGAGGGGTCAGACAGGGATGTATTCTATCTCCATTGTTGTTCAATATCTACTCTGAGTCAATCTTCAATGAGGCACTGGAGAACATCGACGCTGGCATTAAAGTAAATGGTGTTTGGATCAACAACTTAAGATATACTGACAATACAGTTCTGATGGCCAGTAAGCATGAAGACCTTCAGCTCCTCATCAACAGAGTCACAGAAATATCTGAAAAATACGGCTTGAAGCTTAACACCTCAAAAACCAAGATCATGGTCATCAGCAAACAACCTGTTAATTTACCATCAATAAATTCAGAAGGAATACCACTAGAAAAAGTTGAAAGGATCATGTACCTCGGTTCTAATTTACATGAAAGCTGGGACATGACCGTTGAAGTAAAGACAAGGATAGAAAAAGCTCGAACAGCATTCTTCAAAATGAAAAAGGTCTTCTGCAGTCATGACATAAGCCTAAGACTGAAAATCAGACTTGTCGGATGCTATATTTTTTCTATCCTGCTCTATGGAGTAAAGAGTTGGTCTCTGACAGAAGGCCACTTGAAGAGACTAGACTAGAAGCATTTGAAATGTGGATTTACAGGCGGCTTTACGTATAAGCTGGATTGACAAGATCAGAAATGAGGAGGTGATAAGCCACCTGGGAAAGCCAAGGGAAATCATCAAAACAATTAAAAAACGAAAATTAGAATATTTCAGACATGTGATGCAACACCCAGAAAAATACAGCATACTCCATTTAATCCTCCAGGGAAAGATTGAAGACAAATGAGGTCCAGGCAGAAGAAGAACATCATGGCTTCAAAATCTAAGGGACTAGTTTGGACAAAACTGAGCAGTACTTTTTCATGCGGCTGCTGATAAAAACAGGATCGCCAACATCCCATAATGGATATGGCACAACAACAAGAAGAAAGTTAGATGTAGTTCCTTCAATTATCTCTTCAGCTTAGAAGGGATGAGTGTCAACCTTTCAAAGCATTTTCGAAAGAGTCCAATCGTCTTGAAAGTTTTTTTTTCTGAACTAAATGAGTTTTTAGGTCAGAAGAAACATTTTTAGTATTCCTTAACATCTGACACCATTTATTGGGCAATGTATAGTACCCATTTTCTCTAATTAGTAATAAAGGAGAATACTTGTAGCTCAGGGTTGACATGAGGGGGTCCTGGCTTCTCTCTGAGCTTGCTTGTTTTGCAAACGTTTCATTACCCAAACTAGGTAACATCATCAGTGCTAATGAGTGCAGTTTGCTGTCAGTTTACATTCTAGTTACTTGCCTGTCAGTGTTGGTGGGGGTGCTTTTAGATATACTGTTGGCTTCTTTCGCAGTTCTTGATTGGGGTATTGTTTACTTGATTGTTGGCCTGATACTAACCTTGGAATTAATCTCTGCTGATCTGAGTGCTGATTGATGGTGGAGTAGTGCTTGGATCTTTTTGTTCCTTTTTGAGCTGGGCAATAGTTTATTTTGTGTAGGCTATAAATGTTGTTAATATCTATGTTGTCTGCTGATGGATGATTTGTCAGAGTGCCAGGCTTCTAGAAATTCTAGAAATTTTTGGACTTGGCTTGGTCTAGGATGGTCATATTTTCCCAATTGAAACTATGGTTAAATCTGTCTCTCTGTTGTGAAATTAAAGAATTTTCATCATGTCTTCTGACTGCTAGTTGATGTTCGTGGATGTGTTCTTCCAGGCTTCTGCCTGTTTGTCCTACATAGTGGTTGTTGCAGTCCTTACATTGTATGTTGTAGAACAATGGTTCTCAACCTTTTTAATGCCGCGACCCCAACCGGTTGTAAGTCGAGGACTACCCAACCGGTCGTAAGTCGAGGACTTTCCCTGCCCAGGAGCACCGCGCATGTGTGGTGCCACCCCCTGCGCCGGCCGAGGCGTAGCTGGCAAGCGGCAGAGACGACGCAGGCCGACCACCAGCTGGGCCACCAGCTGGCCCAGCCCAAGGGAGGTAAGGCACCCACCGGGCCCCACACGCACCAGCAACCCTCCCTGCGCCCGCCGGCCTCCCACCTCCCACCCCTGGCCCTCTTTTACTTACCGTAAATGCCGGCGTACAAGGCGACCCGACGTACAAGACGACCCCCGTCTTTATAGCCGGGCCGCATTCCTAGAACGTCGTCTTATACGCCGAAAACTACCAGTATTTCCGGCATATAAGACGACTCGGCGTATAAGACGACCCCCGTCTTTGGCGCCGATTTCAGCGCTCGCAGAAGTCACCTTATACGGCGGCATTTACGGTACATTTTTAGTAGTTGCTCAGCAGGAAGGGGTGGAAACTTCCAGACAGCTCACCTTTGCTGCAGACAACTTGCAGCACCGTTTGCAGAATGGGACTTTTGGCGGGCTCAGCAGGGCAGAGGCAGCCTGGACAATTCCTATTGGCTTTTGAAAGCCAATAGAATTAGACTCTATTCAAGAGAGTCTATTCTATTGGCTTTCAAAAGCCAATAGGATAAAAGGGAGTAGCACAGCCAAGGAAAAAGGGAAAAAATGGCGGACTGCATTGTTTGGCAACTCCCATGAAATGGTCGTTCCAACCCCAAATGGGGTCCCGACCCACAGGTTGAGAACCACTGTTGTAGAAGATGACTCCTGTTTTTTCTTCTGGGTTTGTTGGATCTTTTGGTCTGCTTAGGATGTTTTGACCGGCTTTAGTTGGCTTGTGTGCTATGCTGATTCCATATGGTTATAGGAGTCTGTTGGTGGATTCCGAGATATTCTTGATGTATGTGGTATAATTGTTTTTAGGGTTTGTGTTGGTTGTGCTGAACTGGGTTGAGTGATAAGGGACTTTTTGATAAAGTTGCTTGGATATCCATTTTGTTGGAATATGTATAGATGTTCTATGTGCTTTTTCTGCTCTTCCAGATTGCTGCTGTGTGTATGGGCTCATTTAAACAAAGTCCTTACACAGCTTCTCTTGTGGGAGGTTGGGTTGTTGTTTTGTAGTGGAACACCTGGTTAGTATGGGTGGTTTTTCTGTAGACTTTTTTTCTAGTTTGTCATTGTGGGCCACCTGCAAAGACCTCCTGGAGACTATAGCTGGTACACAATGCATTAGGCTACATATTAATCAGGCTAACAATATTGCAGAGGTTTGTCTCCAAGTGTAATCTGAAGTGCTGGTGAGGACTTTTAAAATGCCACATAGCTTGGGACCATGGCTTTGTGACCGCCTGCTCAGTTTGCCTGTGCAGAGTGTTTACTGAGTCTCTGCCAGCCCTGAGGTGTGTTAATGTTCTTTCTCCTGCTGAATATCCTATCCTCTGATACCTTAGCATCTCTTCTCATATTCACAAAATCTTAAAATATGGCTTTTTAGGTGAGCATTTGGGGACTAAGGTGAACTATACCCAAATTAAGATGGCAATTTGTGTTATTTTATGGTTTTATGATGATACCATTGTACAACTACCATTGTAGTTATGTTAATGTTAGTTATGTTAATCTATATCGATATTATAAATTATTAACATGTGCAGATGTTTAATACATTTAGATTTTTTGTAATATACATTATGCTATAGGCTGATTAGAGTTGTACAATTGAAGTGACACGAAATGCCTTTATTTATTTCAACACTTCAATGCCTCTGGAGTTTAAGAGACTGTGAGGGCATCAGGATTAAACAGTGTACATAAGAAATGTTTTCAGTGTATGAAGACATTTAGCTTTTCTAGGTAAACTGCATACTTTCATAACATTTCAAAAGTGTTCAAGCTATCATTACTTAATAGTTGATTAACGTTAGCAATTACATTATAAACCCAAATTTTATTTTTAAAAATATGGCTAGACATTTAAAAATTAAAAAAAAATACTTCAAAGGGTCAGTTATTGATTTAAGGAAAGGTATACCAAATGTGTCTAATTCTCTTTAGTGCTGGGGAAATAATTCAATTTCTATTGTAACTAGGACCAAGAACATCCCAAGATTTCAAGGATACCAAATAAGAACTCTCAAGCTGAGCCCATGAGAGTATGTAATCCAGATTGTTTCCATTCCAATACATGATCGCAATTAACAAATAAGCTTAATGGTTTTGTTTAACATTAAAAGCACCATCCTCATAAGAAAGATGTTACTTTAACAAGAATATTCTCAGTAGTTCTTCCAACCATAAAATGTAGCCATTAACTTAGGAATCTCTTTAAAAATTTAAAGTGGAATCAACGTAGGCATTGCTATCAAAATAAATATCAGTCCTGATGCAAAATTCATTTTATACATTAATTCTTCCCTACAAATTTAAACTGAAGAGAATTTCAGTATCCTCTTTTATTTGGATGATATGATTTGTCCACTGAATTGTATATTTAATACTTTTTGGACAATATATAAAACCTATTTTTCCCTTGAAATCTTCCTGCCTGTGTAATGGTTTACCTACTACAATTTATGTCAAATGTATTTAGATAGATTTGCTTTCTTTAGTTTCTGGCTTTATTTAGTTGATTTTTGTTTTTCAAAGTCCTGTTTTCCCACTAGTATTTTTTCTCTTATGTCCCACCTTTCTCTACGTAGTTTAGTATAAACTTCCCTGTCCCTGTTTTCCTCATTAAATAGTTATTTTTATATCATAGGTGAGATTTTAAAAATAGTTTTTATACACTAGTTATATATGTTAAATATATAATATATCACATTTGTGATAATATATTGCCATTTATTTTATATACAATACAACAAATAATTATTTTTTAAGTTTAATAAAATATATGCAAAAATAACAGATGGTATGTTTCAAGCCCTTTACAATTTGAAGCACACATTTTGTGCTGTTGTAAATAATTACTTGGTATATATGTACGTGTCAACTTTCGGTGGAGCTGTTAGGGTGGTTGATTATCAGGAGAAAATATGTGAAATTTTATAGGCTTCTAATCAACATGTTCTGCATGTAAATTCAAGTCACTAGTACAGTGATGGCAAACCTTTTAGAAACCAAGTGCCCAAACCACAACCCAAAACCCACTTATTTATCGCAAAGCTTCAGGGCCGCATCAGCATTGTGCCCTCAGGGACATGGGGCCGTGGCCCACTGGGTGGGCATGGCCCACTGGGTGGGCATGGCTGCAGTTGTCACAGCAGACTGGTGGGTGTGGCTGGGGTAGGCAGGGCCATCTCGATGTTGCTCATGGGGGACATCTGTAGGGGCTGGGCAGGGTTGGGGGAGATCCAGGGGGATCTCTGGTGAGTGGGCACTGGGCAGGAGGACCAGCATAGATGGGGGAGGCACGCTGGGACTGAGAGGGCCATGGTGCTGATGGGGGTCTGGCTTTCCCTGCTCGGGGTGGCCTTTGGCTTGTTGGGCATGGGTATGCTCTACCACCTTTACTCGAGCTTGCTAGCTGGCCACTTTGCCTCCTTTGTGCTGTGTGGGGCTGCTGCTCTGGGTGGCAGTGGCGGCCTAATGGACCTGTGCAAGCTGCTGGCAGTGGCGGCGTGCATGCCCACAGAGAGGGCTCTGAGTGTCGCCTCTGGCACGCGTGCCATAGGTTCGCCACCACTGCACTAGTATATTTGTAGAAGATTTATTTATTTAGTTTCTTATTATTTCTACATTAATTTGGTCTAATTTTGTAAACGTTTTCAGAAAATGAAATCACAAATTTAGGGGGAGGAGGGGAGGGAGGGAGGAGACCTGTAACTGTTGGACAGATATGGAATAATTGTAGCTGGCTTTCTATTTTAGTTGACTCAAGGAAAGTAAATGTTATAGGAACCAGATGAGGGTCCTTGGTGCTCTCTCAGCTTGGTTGTTTTCTTGCAGATGTTTCATTACCCAAATTGGGTAACATCATTCCAAATTGAAGTAGGTTCTTATCTGATTTTTTTTAATAAAACTATTCCCTATGAAATGGCATTTGTAAGCTGAATTTGCATTCTGAATACACCCCCACCCTGTAGACTGGAGCACACTGAATTATGCTGTTTTTGCACCTCTCTTCCATCACATGTACAGATTGGCTGTATAAGCAGGCTAAAAAGTAATAATACTGAAAATGTAAGTCTAAAATTGTATCTCAAGAAAAGTCAATGGAAACTTTATTAAGCATGTCAATAGCACTGTCATGAGAGGCAGAATCATTTATCATTTCTTCCCCCCTTAAAAGTGCATACCACATAGTTCACTGAATAGCCCCAAATGTAAGAAACAGAACAATCTGGGGTTTTGGCCAAGAAGTAAACATGTTGTAGCAGAACTATGCAGTCCCTGGCATTTCTTTTCGTATCCTTTTCCCTGTCAAGTATTCAGGGAACATTTTACGTCTCATTTAGTTTTCAAGGTAGTGCACTTAATGAGTTTACAAGAGGATGTTTCTGCTGTCTCTCAGTCATCTAGAACAAATCTTTATTTCCATGCCTTAGTTATAAGAGACAAACATTTCAAAAGGATTTTTCAACTATAACCGGTCAGCCTGGTGTTTCTTTAAAAAAAAAAAAAGACTTAATTTTATTCTTGTTTTAAAGGCCTGGATGGATTTACACAGGATAGAGTGAAACCATGTTTTGTTTTGTTTTTAAATGGCTTTGCAAACCTGAGCAGGGACTCTTTATAGGACTATCTGCACTACAAAAGTCCAGAAAACATTTAGTTGGTACCAAAGAGCTAAAAAAAACTCTAATTCATCTCATTGTCATTGGAGGTTTGTTGCTAAAACTATTATTTTTTTATCCTCTGTTTCATTGATGATTAAGTCATCACATTTTATACAACCTGTTTTTCCTGTCATTCTAGAAGCCTGCTGAAAACTTACAACTGATCGAAAATGCTGGAAAGAAAAGAGGTTTGTATGTTAGTATGCTCTATCAGCCCAGCGAGTCACAGATTTGCTTTTATTTTTATTTTTTTATAAATGTTTTATTGAGTTTTATAAAGGTAGGGAAAGGATAAAATCGGTATGGATATTGGATGGGGTTAGGAGATGGGGTTGGGATAAGGGTAGGGGAAGGTACAATAGCGGGGTTGCCCCCAACAAATAATTCAACGCTTTAGCAAGCATACTATCGTCTGGGTAAAAAAATATTAAATGACAGTAATTAATATACTGTTCAAAAAAAAAAAAGGAACACAAACGTATAGGATCCTGTACATTTGTGTTCCCTTTATTTTTGTGAGCAGTATATAATAGTAAACAGTTATAATCACTAGTAATAACAATAATCATAAAAGTAAAGCTTCGTTAATAAATATCATGCATCCTGTTAAACTTCACCGCCCTTTCTCATTCTATCGTATTGCTAACCACTGATAAATTTTTCCCATGTTTTAAAATAATAAATTTATAAATTTCTTTTGAACTGGAAGATGGAAGAAGAACAAGTAAAAGAAAAAATGATAGTGTGGGCATTTTTTTTTTTTTTATATTCTATAGACTTAGAAGATTGGCAAAAGTTTTGGGATAGAAATACTAAACTTACTAAAGCAGCTTCATACAAAGAGAATTTATATAAAATGTTTTATAGATGGCATATGACACCAGTTAGATTAGCAAAAATGTTTAAAAATTTATCGAATATTTGTTGGAAATGTAAACAAAAACCAGGTACTTACTATCATGTCTGGTGGATATGTCCTAAGGCAGGGCTGTCAAACTCAATTTCATTGAGGGCCGCATCAGCATTGCGGTTGCCCTCAGGGGGCCGGGGTGTGTGGCCAGGGTGGGTGCGGCCTACTGGGTGGGTGTGGATGGAATGGGTGTGGCCTATTGGGTGGGCATGGCCAGCTCTACATCGTTCGCATCACAGGTGCCTGTGGAAGCCTGGGCAGGAATGGGACAGATCTGAGGGTCTCTGGCAGAAAGGGGTGGGACCGGGGCAAGCGCCAAGGCATGGTCCATTTATTCATTCCTCACAAAGGGTGACACCTCCCCAGTAGGCACCCAGGGGGCAGGGCCGACACGGCAGGGGCTGGTTCCTCGCTATTTCTAGATGGCCTTGTGGAGCTAAGACTGAATGCGTTTTAGCATTGATGGCCACCACAAAATTGTAAATTGGCTCCCGGCTGGCCTGGGCCAAGGCAGCAGGGGCTGTTCCCTCATTGTTTCCAGGATGGCTTCGCGGGCCACATGAAATCACTTCGCGGGCTGCATCCGGCCCCCAGGCCTTGTGTTTGACATGTCTGTCCTAAGGCAAAGAAATTTTGGTTTAAGATCCATTTATGGCTGGAAAAAATGACTAAAATACAGATAGAATTTAAGCCAGATCTGTTTTTGTTAGGAATATTAGGACTTAATTATGGAAAAGAGAATGAATATTTAATATTACATGTATTGACAGCTGCAAGAATAGTATTTGCCCAATTTTGGAAAAATGGAAACCTACCACCTAACCAGATTATAATCACGAAAATCTTAGAATGTGCAGAAATGGATAGATTAACTTTAGAGATTAAAGAGCAAGAAGATTCAGTTTATTTTAAAACGGATTTGCTTTTATTGAACTTGGTTAATTTTTGCTATTTATTTAAGTGGTTTGAAGACAAACTATTTTACTTCGTATAGAATTAATTCTAAATTTTGTTCTCATATTAAAATTAGTGTACTGCAGTGAATTCCTTAATGCAGGATCCTGATTCCTCAGGAGGTTTAAAGCTAGTTTGGATGTTAGTCATAACAGGATTGAATAAATGATATAACTGGCCCTTATACAATCATTTGTGTTTTAAAATGGTAAACACACTGGGGTGAGGAATGATGTCATGCTTCAAAACACCTGACTTGTATAGTCACGCCAAACATTATGGTACACTCATGTAATTTACATAATAACTTTAGGATGTGCATGTTGTCATTTTACATCATTGTGGCTTACGATTGCTGGTCTACTGCTATGTTCCAAAAAGCTTATTTCCCAGTAGAAAGGAACATATGTAGTTGCTTTATTATAAAATGTAATGGACGTCTAACTAGGAAATTAACCATCATTTAGTGACAGCCTCATAGCGTCCCTTCACAGTTACAGTGGTGATGAAAAAATAACAATCAATCCTTTCATCTACAATCTGTAAAATAAAGAAAGCTGAAGTAAGTTTTTAAGCACAGTTGTGTTTTCACTTATGACCACTTTGCTTAATGACCAAGTTGCTGATCCCAATTGTGATTACTAAATAGGGATTGCTGGTAGGGCTGTTCCCAACGGAAACACTGAGAAACCATAATTGAGTAACATCTCAATACTAGGATTAACTGTTCAAAGAATTTGGATGCTTCATTTCAAATTAGCCATTAAAGGAGAATATTTGTAGTTCAGGGTTGACATGAGGGGTCCTTTGTGCTCTCTGAGCTTGGTTGTTTTCTTGCAGACGTTTTATTACCCAAACTGGATAACATACTAGTAATCTAGCTTTGATAATGTTACCTAGTTTGGGTAATGAAACATCTGCAAGAAAACAACCAAGCTCAGAGAGCACCAAGGACCCCTCATTTCAAATTAGGTCAGTTTAACTGCAGTCTATTCTCCATTTTTGTAACTGCATCTTAACCATGTTAAGCTTGCTCTGGCCAGAAGCAGCATAGGCAACAAGTAGATAGTACATAAAGTAAGTTTGCAAAGTTCAGCAGAATTTCTGTTTGGGTTTAGTAGTTAAAAGGAAAGAATGCTTTCCTTTCAATCCCTGCCTTTCTCTTCAAAAAAATCAACAAGCAGTTCACACTTAGGTAAGCAAATTCACACAATTCTTAGGTAACCCTAATTTTTGTATCAGCCTAAGATAAATATATATCGTCTGCCAAAAAAAGTGGTTCAGGTAGGTCATGATGAATTTAAATAATACAGTATTTGATTTAGTGCAAATTATAAATTGATATCAGGTTGCATTTAATATGACCCAAAATTCAGTTCATGCATAGCTTGTGTGAGAGTAATTCAGGCTAGAACATGCACAGTTGTAGTTGGGGCTTTAGACATTGATAATATTTGTGTGCACAAAATAGGAGAAAAGAAAGATTCTGTCAAAAGAAAATATGAGTCTAAAAAGGCTTCTTATTGCTGAAAACTCACAACTTTTACTGTAGTATTTCATTAATGTACATAAAAATTGCTTATTGCCTATTTGTGAGCTAGAACCAATCATTTTCATAGAAATATCATTTTCAATAGTGCACATTCAAATAATGCAACACTTTCCTGGGATTCATTAACCATGCTAATCAAGACCTACCTGGATATCTCTTTCACCCCCACCCAACTCCAGCCCATTCTGTCAATAGATCCTTCTCCAGTCAAGCCAAACCCAGCCATTGGCACAACAAATTGCAATGTGATTTCTTTCACTTCATTTGTAACATTGTTAGCTTTGTAGCAAACAGCAAATTTTGGCTAAGGTGGACTGAAATAGTAACATATTTTAAAATGGAATCCCAGCAAAACAGATTGCATTAATAACGCTTAGAAACCTCTTAGACGGCAGTGTCTGCAGTTAATCTTTCCCACTGATGCATGTCTTTGAATTAAAGCAATTTCTCTGAAAAAGTAAGTTATGATTGTAATGTGATTAATATCAGATGACATCCCTAGAAGACAATGCCATAACACAACTATAGTCTTTCTGTGAAAATTTACCATGAAATAAAGACTGGTTGTCAAGAAAAATGAAGTTGTATGTAGGGATTTAAATGTATGTAATAATACCCCGAAATGTTTTTTCTTAAGGAATTAATTGAGGGTGATTTTAATCCACATTTTTCTTGCAGAGACATAACATTATTGCAGTGAATAGCACAGTCTTTGACAGAACTGGGACTATTATTTTATATCTTCCTGAGGATGTCACCGCAGGAAATCTCTGTGCCTCCAGTGCAGTCAATTCTATATTTGCAGATTGAGATGTGTTTGAACCAGGAACTAAGGAACTAAGAGTCCATATTTGAAGATTTTATACCAAGACAACTTAAGAACCACTTTTTATCCTGAGAGGTCTTTGGTTACAGTTGGACCTAGATTCAGTGTCTGAAAAAAAAATTGAGCTTGGAGGAAAAGCTATGTCTGGTGTTGAGGGTTGATGGTAATTAGTTTTAACTCATGGATTCTAAAGAAAACGGTGCTGAGAAAGTCATTGGTCAGTTATGACTAGCATCTTTGCCATCTATCGTTGGATGTACATTTTGACTTCAGTTTCCTTATGGAATACAATTAAAATGCTATTTTTATCCTTTTTATATAATTGAAGGGATTTGGCTTATTTTCAGCAACATTTTAATTGCATTTCTTGCAAGGCATATATAAAATGAGTTGGGGAAAAGTAATGTTATCTCTTATTTACTTGGTAAACTTACACTTTGGGATAATCTCAATTTGAAAATGTTAGATAACTTTTGTTAAAGGCTTGAGCAAATGAAGGTATTAATGCTGTGGATCAGCATCTTGCTAATCCAGTCTTCACATTATTTTCATTATTGTAAAAGGAATCCATATTGCCCCAAAAAGTAAATGGCAGTGGTACAATAAATTTAAATAATTCTGATTTCATTATTTGATCCAGATGAATTATCTGCATCTAAAACCCATGGAGTATTGTTTATGTAATAATCTGTTTTAATAATTTTACATCTACATTACAATTAGTAAATAGCTAAAGAGCATTAGTAAAGTAGATATTAAATATTTGCACAAACTCTGGAATAAAGTATTGGAATACATTGTATAGTTAATCATTTTTAATTATTAAGAGTTCTAAGGAATACAGGGTATAATGAGTTAAAATTTTGCTCCTGTTGAAGACCAAGCAAAATATGAAATGTAGTTCTTAAAATTATTTATTTTTAGACAGTGTGACTACCTCATTATAATCTTTTAAAAATTAATTAATTAATTTGTGTATATGGTGTAATTTTCTATCAGTGTATCAGAGAGACTGATCAGTATTAATTTGTGTGATTAAGACTGTTCACTGTGTGTGGGTTTAAATACTGGATTTTTATATAAAGACTGCAATTTTTGTTTCTCTGTGCAATTCTGTTTATTATGCTGGCTCTGGGTTAACAGTTAAGATAGTATAACCAATCTCTATGAGTTAGCTCTGGGTTTTTCTCAACTTACACTTAATTCCAAGGTGAACATGAACATGCCTACCACAGCAGCCTTTTGTTGTTGTTGTTGTTGTTATGTTTTCATGATCCTGCTTATATCTTGTTCCCAATTAAAGTTTTCCTTTGCTCTTCTGATGTTAAGCTAGTACTTTCTCCTTTAAGCAGGCAACAAGCAGTGGCAGTTTTGCTGCGAATATAATCTCCACACAGAGAAAGAATGTGAACGCATGGACTTTATGGTATAACTCTTTGTGGATAACTGCATTCCATTTGAACAAATCCATACAATACACTTGTTCCAAATGTCTAAAATGGTTGGTCTAGCCATCTGTTAAAACTTGCTTCTTTCCCCAGCCTCTCCCTATCCCATTTCATTCTAAAGACAATGATTGGCAGATATTTTTCCAATTGATGGAAAGGGAGAGGACATAGCCAAAGAATACATCAGCCCTAGTTCTTAATGTTCTTGTACACCATAAATAAGTACAGGGCCATTTCTGGCATGGAATTTGTGACAGGTTAAGGATCATCAATGGAGGAACTAATTCTAGGCTGGTATAATTTTCTGATAGCTCAAGAATTGTACTTTACCTTAGCCCAGAGGAAGAGCCCTCCATTCGGTACTGTGAAGTAATTTATGGTACAATTTCCATTACTGCCACTGGAGGGAGCATGAGAAATTCCCGGATAAAAGAAAATGATACAAAAAATTAAAAAATGCTGGACTGGCATCAATCTATTAATAACAACTTAATAATAATAAATAGGCAATTGCAACAAGAAGCCACAGAACTAGAATTTGTTAACATATTTCTTATAGTTTAGGGTGTGTTTCTGTACAGTGGTACCTTGGTACTTAAATGCTTTGAAACTCATCAAATTTGGTACTCGATGCATTCTGATGTGAACGTTTTGTCCTGGTATTCATCGTTTGTATAGTATTCAATGCCCAACCTAGAACTTGTCGATGTTGGGTGGCTTGTGACTCACTACATTATTCCTTATAGGAAAAGTTTGGTATTCATCGTGTTTGATACTAATTGCGCCTCCTGGAACCAATTAACGATGAGTACAGAGGTACCACTGTATTTTCCCAAATATAAAGTCTGGTTTAGTAGCAGTGGTTCCATTTTCATGGTTTCTATGGTAATGGTTCACATCTCAACTGTCAAAATGCATTAAATACATTCTTTACTTTTCAAAGTACCCGCTTGGCTACCCTTATGGTTCCATTACCTTTTTGCGTGTGGTCTAGGGAAAAGCACACTGTCCCTAATACTATCAACATACTGTGACCAAGGGGAAAATGGGACAAGGCAGGAATTGACCATATGATGCGAATCCATACAAAAGCTGGAGAAACTGTCTGATCCAGCAGTGAATGTGTAAACTGGAATTCAACCTAGGACATGTGGATTAGAACACAAGTGATCTCATAAGATGGTTGCTCCTTCTCCATTTTAGTTCTCCATCAAGCAACCAGGAACTAAGAGTCCATAAAATAGCTGTGGTAAAGAAATCATTCAGAAGCTAAATGATATAAAATATTTCATTACTGTAATTGAAAGCTGCCGTTGAAATAAGATATATAAAGACAAAACATCTTTGTAGGAATTTCCCAACCCACTAACTAACTCTTCATTGTGCAAGCAGGACTCTGGTTTGAGTAGCTTAACTACTGGGACATCCTGTGGAGATATAAGGTGGAATCTGTATTTACATATATTAATGAATTCATATTTCTGTCTATTTGAACGGGTCCATTTGCTATTAATGGCGGTATGCAAAGAAAAGAAAGGAGGCAGACAGAAATGAAAATGGCCATCTAATTGATTTGAAATTAATCTAGCAGTTTGAAACTTAAAGCCCACTAATATAATTCAGATTCTAATAGCAAGCCTAAAAATGGGAGTTTTATCCAGCAACAAAAGATATCATTAGATTCCTTGAATTAAATGAAACCTAGAAGCATTGAAACTTGCCCTTTGTTAGTCTGAGAACCAACATTAACTTAAAGATAGTAATAGCCTATTATTATTCAGATTCTAGAAGTTATGTTTATTGTATTTTTATTACTGTATTCAGCTGTATTTGTTTGAGGAACAACTATCAAAAGATTCCCCAAACTGGTGCAGTAAAATGGTCAACTCTTTTTGCCCTAATATAGTATTTGGGATAATAAGGATCATAATTCAAACTCTACAAGCTACATTGGCATCAATTTGCTTCCAGTTTGTTTGTTTGTTTAATGTATTCCAAGGGACTCTGGTGGCTTATATGGTATAAAAGCATAGATCTAAAAACATTAAAAGCATTAAGATTAACAACAATTAAATACAATAAAATACTATTTATTTATTAAATGTGCTGCCCATCTCATTGTCCCAAGTGAACCTGTTCCGGGTACAATTCAAGGTGCCGGTGGTTACCTTTAAATTCCTTCATGGCTTGGGACCGTCTCTCTCCGATGGTATCCACCCATCCCATTAGATCTGGCAGAAGAGGCATACTTTGAGTCCTGTCTGTGAGGGACTACTATCTGGCAGGATCTAGGACAAAAGCTTTTTCTATTATGATACCTGCCATCTGAACATCATCCTCCCTGGAGATCAGACTTGCCCAACCCTGCTGGCCTTTCAAAAGCCTAGTTTTGCCATCATGCCGGGAGCCCTGATGGTTTGGGTGAGCCTCTTTCTTGTTAATTGGGGTGATTGTTTAGTGCTATTGTTTGGCTGCTATTTTATTTTATTTTATTATTGTTTTTATTCTGTTTTTATTGTTAGCTTCTCAGATTCTGGTGCCTGAGATGGGTGTGTGTATGTATGTATGTATGTATGTATGTATGTGTGTGTGTGTATATATATATATATTATATCTAATATATATATATTATACACACCACCATACACACACACACCCCACACCACACACACACACACACACACACACACATATATAATATATATATATATGATATATATATATATATATATATATATATATATATTAAAAATTAACCTAAAAATTGAGGAACGTAGTCTCCTGGGTGTATACATATTCAAAAGATAAAAACGAGCACCAGGAGGTAAAACAATTACAACCTGTTATCTATTTATTAAACATTTAATTGTTTTACCTCCTGGTGCTCGTTTTTATCTTTTGAATATATATATATATTCAATAAATAAATAAATAATACATCATGGCCACCATCTTGATTTATTTGACTACACCTCACAGGCATCTCTGCCACCTACAATTGGATTACATTTTATTCTCATTGTTTGCAGTTATTTTAGACCCCTTCATTTGCTACTTCAGTGCCATCTCCGTTGTAGCATTCTGCAGTGATTTATATTGCACAGCACCGCACAGATCTGGCTTGACTGGGTAAAATAGTCCCTGAGCAAAAGCAACGCCTTGCATTGTCCTTATGATACAATGGGTATAGTTATCGTGCTTTATGAAGTTCCTGTACGCTGCCCTGAATTAATTATTTTAATTGAAGGATAATTACATTCCCTCTCTCGATCTTCTTTGTCAAAGCAATCAGCATCATGCTTTCTGCCTTGTTACACTACAGTGATTTTATTGGTCTTGCCGTTTCTGTAGAGCACAACAGGAAAATATTGGCTGGATTGTCCTGGCAACTGGGTGATAAATTTTTTTCCCTGCCACCTAAAAATAAGAAATGCCATGAAAATATATTCATTTATCTTCTTGCCTTAAATTGCCAGAGGATGAGTTTTCTATACGCCTCGTGAAAAGTACCTTGCTATTAGGTTTAGCCTCATTTCCAAACAGAGCTCTGGGCGGGCCTCTCCCTGATGTTCACCTATGTATGTGCTTTCTAAGAGCCTTTTCAAATAATATCCTATTCTCCCTACTCCCATATTTTAAAAGTCATTTTCCTTTTTGAAAAGAATTCCAAATTTGTAACTTGTTCAATCTTCTGCGGTATTTTTATTACGGTACATTCATGTGAGGCAGAATAGAAAATTGTATCTATAGGCAGGAGAAGAACCCTCCTGTTCCCGGCTGGCAGAGTTTCCAGGCCCTTAAGCACAAATTAGCAGTTCAGCATCCCTACAGGGCATTAGGCAAGGCACACGTCAGAATAAGTAGAGCCAGGCACTGTCATTATATTGTGAATATTTTCCAGAGGGATAAGACATTTTAATGTTGCAATGAAAACAGCAGAAGCTTGTGTCGCCTAGAAGACCAAATTTATTGTGGGAAAGCCTTTTACAAAGTAGCATTCATGGCGATTTCATTAATTTTTCAGATTGCACACAATTCTTTACTGTTGATGGTGGGGCTTTGTAACCACTTCCATATAGCAGATGTTTGGGATTCTTTAACCAAGAAGTGATTTACAAAATGCTTTTTTTATTGGACTTGGTTCCTCCTACTTCCTTCAGTCCATTAACACCAGCAGGAGCATCCTATCAATCACCCTTTCTGTATGCTCTCTTCCCACCCTTTCTGTATGCTCTCTCTTATACATCAGCTAATTTGAAATCTTCCAGCTACAGAGTTTTCTGCCAGCAACCTACATCATCAGAGGGCTAGTAGAGTTCAGATG